TGAGGTCCAGTATATTGATCACCAAATTTCCCAGGCTTCGGTCCTTTTAATAAAAATACATAATCCCCTGGTTTAAATGTTTGAGGATTGGTCTTTTTGTCGTAATGCATCTTAGATTTATTCTTGGCGTTTACGAGATTACGGTTGGCCTGAGTTTGCATTTTGTGTAGTCGAGTGAATAGCTGTATTAGGTAGTCGTCGTATGTTTTTATTTTATCGTCTTCGAGTAAAGGTTCGGTCGAGGGTATGCGAGCAGGTCTACCAAAAACTAATTCATACGGCGTGTGTTTGGTTTCTTCGTGTACACTAGTATTATAATTTTGCATAGCCAAGTCTATCCATTCGTCCCATTCCTTTTCGCTATTAACATATTGCTTTAGATATTCTCCTAGTGCGTGATGAGATCTTTCTAAGGACCCATTTGATTGAGGATGAAATGCAGTGGTCCTAAATTTCCGTATTTTGTAATATCTTGCTAATTTTTTCATCAGGTCGCTAATGAAATTTCGTCCTTGATCGGTGAGTACAGCTCTAGGTGGTCCAAAGATGGCAATAAATCTTTTTACAAATTTGTCGGCTATTGTTGCAGCAGTTTGGTCCGGTAACGGTACAGCTAGGCTGAATTTGCTAAGTTGGTCCTGCATAGTAAGAATGTATTAATTTCCTACCTTAGTTCGTGGTAGTGGTCCAACTATATCCATGGCGATTTTATCGAACGTCCATCCTGGAGTGTCGGTTATTATCATTGGTTGCTTGGTTTTTACTCGAACTAATTTCTTCAGTTGACATTGTAGACACTGTCGAATATATTGCCGAACATCTTCCTTCAGATGTTCCCAGTAGTAGTTTTGACGTATCCTATTGTAAGTTTTGGTAACTCCTCTATGTCCTCCTACCGGTGTACTGTGCATTTCTTGAAGGATTGCGAATCGTATATCCCTAGGTGGGTACTTGATTAGTCCATTGCAGAAGATTATCCGCACATCTGAGCCAAAAAATCCTGTCTGAAATTTAGTTTTAATATCGTTCCAAGGAACGTTTAGTATGTGTTCGCTTTTAGCGACACTTATGCTTGAGAGTTTCAGATTCTCTGCTATTTTTCGCAAATTGGTGATTCCTTGGTATATATTATTCAAAATCCTGGTAGGTCCTTCTTGCTGATCTTCGCTAATGGGTAATATAATATGATATCTTTGGTATCTTTTAATCAGTTTTGCAATTCCCAGGGACAATCCTGTTAACTTAGGTATTTCCTGTCGTTCAAATAATTTACGGGCACCAGAGTCTAAGGGATTTCCCAAAATGTCAGTAAAATATAACAGGTTATCCTTGAGTAAAAAGTGCAGATCCCTGGATTCAACAAGGTTGTTTGCTCTAGTTTGAATATCGATTATGCGTGGTTTTCTTGTGATTATAGTGGGCAATTCGTCTTCACTTTCCTCGTTGGTATCCATGGGTAGCGGTCTCGGTGGTATGTTGTGTCTCTTTAAGTTTATGTCTTTGTCAGGCGTGATTGTCTGCATTTTTTGTTTAGCTCTACTGCGGGTCAACATAGGCCGTTGAGTCTCGATTTTGTCTACCTGCTTTTTGTCCTCTGGATCGGTGGTTTCAGGCACGTGGGCAAGCGCTTCTATTGTTTCACCTGTCGAAGAATCTGCTAATTCTTCCGGATTAAATGATGTAATTTCTGAGGGAGGAATTTCGGACAGTGGGTGATCATCATGTACGTATGTATGAGGAATGTCTTCGTCTTCTGATTCTTCAGTATCTTCTTTCTCGAGTAATTGTCGTATAATCTCTACATCTTTTGGATCGGTTGGATTCAATTTAATTTTAGGATTAATTATTTTACAAACTTCTGATGATAAGTCTACCGGATTTCGTGATAAGGCGTCTGCGTTTACATTTGTTCTACCGGACTTATAGACTACTTCGTATTCGTATTCTGCTAATTTTAGTCTCCAGCGAAGGATTCGCATGTTCGCATCCTGAGCGTTTTTGAACCACATTAAGGGTTTGTGATCTGTTACAAGTGTGAACTTTCTTCCGTATAGATATGGTCTGAAATGTTTGACGCAATATATAATTGCTAGTGCTTCCTTTTCGTAGGTATCGTACTTTAGTTCGTTATCGCTCAGTGTACGAGATGCGTATGCTATTGGCTGATCTTTGTTAATGATTCCTTGAGATAATATTCCGCCTATTGCGTAACCTGATGCGTCTGTAGTTAATATAAATGGTCTCGAAAAATCTGGGTACTGCAAGACCGGTTCTTTACAAAGCTCATTTTTAAGAATATTAAACGATTCTTGCTGTACGTA